TGCGTTTGCCTCGCTTCATTGGTATTGAAACCGAGTGCAATTGGTTCAGAACTGGTTTCAAGTGGGAACAATAGACATATAACCCGATCAGCAATTTGTTTTAAATCATAATGGGAATGAGGCCGAAGATGAGAAAGAAAAACTACTGAACTGAATTGTATTCATTAATTCCAATCCGTTTTCACAAATTCCAGTCCACTAGCAGAGGTATGAACAAGGACAATTACTTCATGGCACACTACACATATTAATACTGTACAAGAGTCCTTGCTACTGCACATTTAACAAAAGGATCTTCTTTGTGAACCCTGGGAAACTGACTTGGTAAGTAGATTTATTGCTTCCACAGATCAACACTAATTGACCACTGTAAAGATCTGAAAGACCTTTGTCACCTTATGAAGCCCTTTGAAAATGTAGGGCAAGAGTCATGATTTGCTTCTTTCTGGATCATGTTACATTCTGTCCCATTCCTACAACTGTATAAATATGCTTTATGCCCAAAGCCTTAATGCCACTTGATATTGCATCCAAAGGAGTGGGTTCATATCTGCAAAAACCAATTAAAGATGCTGCCAGATTTTCTTTTTCTTTCTTTCTTTCTTTCTTTCTCACTCGCTCTCTCCTCCTTCTTTCCACATTTTTCTTGCACAGTCTTTGGAATAAATAAAAGTAACAGCTCTCAGAACGTCTCTATTTTCCATTACCACAATCCCACATGGTTTTCTTTAATACTAATTAGTTAGCTTCAGGCACTTATATATATATTATATATATATATATATATATATATATATATATATATTCCAGAAGTAACCAAAGATACATTTGTGTTTGACTTTACGTGCCTTTCTGTTGTTCTTCCTTCCTACCTCCTCCCTTTTTTTAAAAAAAAAAATTAAAGACAATCTTTTCTCAAAGTAGGAAACATATTTAGCAGATGAGTCAGGATTGTTACGAGGCTAGCAAAGAAAGAGACTGCTTAACATTTTGCCGCCAGCTGAAGATAGGTTAAATTTACTACTTGTTTATTTAGCCAGTTCATTCCTGTTTCTCAGGTCACAGTAAAATGATACCAAGAGCATTTGCAAATGCTTTCCGATGGCTTGCCCGTTCAGCATTCAGGACAGCATCCTTTGACTGCTCCTTCATCAGGAAAAAAAGACCTACAGCAGTTTGTTTATGTTACCAACACCCACAAGCTAACAAAGGCTCATGAGAAGGCCTCGCTAGGTTGGAAACAAGGCATTGTGGTTCCCAGACAATTGGGATTTGTGTCTATGGGGGAATGGTTTGTTTAGATAAATAAAAGCCAGTCCAACTCAACATTTAAGGCAAAAATGGCAAAAAATTGTTTTTGGAGATGGGAATACTTTTTTGATCTCTGCCCCACAAGTTCTTTTGCAAAACTTACTCTTCAAAAAAAACAGCACACTGTTAAACCAGTTAGCGTTGTTCTGGAGCTTGGCTGTCTTAAAATGTCTTGATTTGGCAGGAAATTCCACAGCTGCTTGAAGTCTCCAGTATGCATTTGCCAAGTTTTCTCTCTCTTTTTTTGGTGTATAAGTTTTATAGAGAAAGCAAGCTGGGATAACATTTTTGTATGCGCCTGCTTGCATACCATAAACATCTGCAGTCCTAGAGGAAGCGCCAGCAGCATGAGATAACCTAGGCTTATCAGAAAGCCAATGTGGAGGCTATAGGTTTCCTGTGCCTTCATTTAGCAAGTAAATTTAAAAGAATCACAACTACTCTATTACATTTTTTTGAGAACTGAAAAATTCATATAAAATATTCTCCTAATTTGACACATGTACTGGATTACTATGGATGAGAGAAAAGAGACCAGAACAAACAGCAGTTCAAAATAATCCGGGGATGGGGACGCTTTGGCCCTGCAGGTGTTTTAGACTATAAGCATGTCTACACAGACCAAATGAAGTGGTTTGCCCCTGCCCCTATGGCAGCCTGTCTTCACAACACGGAGCCAAATGCCCAATTTGAGTGTGGACAGTCTTCACAATGAGGCCAGTTCCAAACTGAATCTGGCGTATCCCTCCCTTAAACTGGTTTAAAATAACTAACGTCTTGCTCTGGATTTTGCAGGAAAACCAGAAGCCCTATTCAGTAATACTAGCTGTCTGTCTAAATATGCACCCCACTGTGCCATGAGGTGTCCAAACATGTCATCAATGTTTGGTGGCCGCCTCATTGTGACCTGAGAGGTAGTGACTTGTGCCAGCAGCAGTGCCTGGGAACACAATAGACAGCCACCTAGTGTCACTATAGTGTGCCAGGAATCCTGGACAACTCTGCAGACCAGAGTATTCTGGCTGGTTCTAGAAGCTCCAACTGGCATGGCTAATAATCAAGAATGAGGGGAGCTGTACTCCATAAACTCCAGAGCGCCAAAAGTTCCCCATGTAGACTGAAATCCTGTGCAAATCAGAGCCCTGATCTTGTTAAATGAAATGAGCAGACAGGATAATAATAATAATAATAATAATAATAATAATAATAAATTATTTCTATCCCGCCCCTCTACCGAAGCAATCGGGGCAGCTTACAACAATAAAATCTCACAATGAACCCTTCTAACCCAACCCACTCTCCCATTAAAACACTATTAAACATCATAAAGTTAAAACAACAACAATAAACAATTATAATAATTTACAGCATTGACTGTTAAAACTGATCTAATAGGCAGCCCGCTAGCACTGAATAGCGTGGCAAGATGTGGTAGCAGGTGGGGGGGAAATTTTCTTACTCTTTGGCCGGAAAATTAATCAGGAAAGGCCTGCCGGAAGAGATCCATCTTGACAGCCTTTTTAAAGCTGTCTAGGTTGGTAATTTGACAGATCTCATCCATCAGGCCATTCCATAATCTGGGAGCAGTTTCCGAAAAAGCCCTCTGGGAGATTGTCGACAGTCTAGACCTAAAAGGTTGAAGCAAATTCCTCCCAGAGGACTGGGGTGTGCAGGTGGGATTATACGGAAGGAGATGGTCCCGAAGATGGGATAGACCCAAGCCATGTAGGGCTTTAAAGGTGATAACCAACACCTTGTACTGGGCCTAGAAACTGATCGGCAGCCAGTGTAGTCTTTTCAAGAATGGTGTAATATGGTCGCTCCTAGATGTACTGGAGACCAACCTGGCTGCCATATTCTGAACTAATTAAAGTTTCTGGACCAAGCACGAGGGTAGCTCCATGTAGAGTGCATTACAGAAGTCTAGACGAGAGGTTACCAGAGCATATACCACAGTTTCAAGGTCCTTTACTTCCAGGAAAGGGCACAGCTGGTGTATCAGCTGAAGCTGATAACAGGCACTCCTGACTGTCGCATTCACCTGATTAATCATGTGAAGCGACGAGTCTAGCAGCACCCCCAGACTGCGAACACAGTCCTTCGCGGTAAGTGTAATCCCATCCAGGACTGGAGGTTGTATCCCAATGCCTGGTTTCAGGGCCACTACTGTAAGTACCTCTGTTTTATCTGGATTCAGCTTCAATCTGTTTTTCCTCATCCAGTCCATTACTGCCCTAAGACAGTCATTAAGAGAAGAGATGCCATCAGAAGTCGAGGCTGACGACCGGGACATGGATAAATATATCTGGGTGTCATCAGCGTACTGATAACACACCCAGCCCCACCTTGCTAGAAGAAGGACAAAAGACATAAATCTGATATATTTTGAAATACACAATGGGAATCCATGCCATCTATTTAATATTCACTGCTTTCAGTGCTAGTTTAAATGAGGATTTGTGTGCATTCTAGAACTGTTTTCTTATTTAAGCTATAGACATGTCTATAACCCACCCATCAACTTAGGGGCATTTACAATGCTTGCAGCACATGTAATTGATTGATCCCCTGTTACTTTTTATGACCACAACTGGTCTAAAATATTTGAGTGACCAAGCTGTTTGCAGACATGATTCAGTGTCACAATGGATGACTCAAAAACTATTAGAAGTGAAGACACAACCACTCTGGTAAAAATCATTAAGTACCATTAGGGGGCAATACAGCTGGGATTTTCTAGTTCTTTGCAAGGTGTGGGAGATGATGCCATGATTTGGTACAGGATGCCTCCTGCCTGGGCATGGAGGTGTGTGATAAAATCTGTGTATTCATTCATTCATTCATTCATTTTATTACAGCCATTAGGCCAGTATA